GAGTAATAACTCACAGGCCTATCACGAGGACTGTATGAGATAACATATGTAAAAGTGCTTCAAAAATTAGGAAATGTAAAAATGCTAGCTAATTTCACAGAGAACATTTCAATTTCCTGCTTTCTCTCCCTGGCTCCCCCAAGAAATTTTAACTGTCTTTTTAGTACCACCAGATAGAGTCCTGCTGAATCTCCTGGGTCCCACTAGAAAGCCTTCCATCTGATCTTATCCAAACCTCGGCTCCTCCCTGATGGTGGTAAAAACACAATCCTCTTGCTCCTGGCCTTCAGTACGACCTACTCCCCATTCATTGTCACGGGGAACATGCATAGAGGTTCAAATTCTAGATCCGCAACTTACTCCACAACTCTTAGCCAAATTAGTTACTCTTCTCGGAGCCCGTTTCCTCACTGAGAAAATGGGGATAATAATGGTAACTATATCACAGAATTGTTGTGAGCAATAAATGAGTTAATGATTCACATATTGTCTGGCACACATGAGCTCTTAAAAAGAATATTAAAAGCCATGGCTTTTTGTCCAAACATTCTTTACTTTAAAAAAGGGGGGGGGGGGTCCGTCTCAGTGCTAAAGTGAAGTAATCTGTGACATTTGTCACATTTTCTGGTTATCTGGAGTTGATTTGGCTGGTCAAATGGAAGTGCGAAAACATGCTATTCCCTCTTCTTAGTCAGTCAGCAAATACGTATTGAGCACTTACTGCATACCAAGGCACTGAGGGAACACAAACATGGATAGGATACAGCCCCCACCCTTGAGGAGTCTGGTGAGGGACCTGAGCCTTTTTTTTTTTTTTTTAGATTTTATTTATTTATTTGAGACAGAGAGACAGAGAGAGAATGAGCAGGGTGGAGGGGCAGAGGGAGAGGGAGAAGCAGACTCCCCGCTGAGCAGTGCTCGATCCCAGGATCCCGGGATCATGACCTGAGCCGAAGGCAGATGCTTAACCCACTGAGCCACCCAGGTGCCCCGGACCTGAGCTCTTAAGAGAAAGGTTCTAGCCTAGGCACCACTGTCACTTTGGCAACAGTATATCCTGATTGCAAGCAAAAATATCTGGGAGCTAATAAACCATCTCTCGGCGTGTTCCGAGCTTCAGAGTGTTGCTGATGTCAGAAATTACAAAACAGCTGAGGGCATTAACTAGTTAACAGATTTACTAGATACCATGGAAATATTAAAATCAATACAAACACCTATTTCCTACAAGGCCACTCAGTCATTCAACAAACGTTTGCAGTGCGCCTACTTCCAAATTAGATGCTAGGGAAAGAAGGATGGTCAGCCGCTCTCCCTGTTCTCAAGGATGCTAATTCATAACATTTTGGGGGTGATTTTTGGTTTAGAAAGCCTTTCACACACAGGATTTCATTTGATCCTCCTGATGAATAGAAAACAGAGGCTCAAGGAGCTCCTGGGTGACTCAGTCGGTTGAGCATCTGCCTTTGGTTCAGGTCATGATCCTGGGGTCCTGGGATCGAGCCCTGCATCAGGCTCTCTGCTCAGCATGGAGTCTGCTTCTCTCCCTCCCTCTGCCTCCCCTCCCCCCCCCGCCCCCGTACTCATTCTCTCAAATAAATAAATAAAATCTTTAAAAAAGAAAACAGAGGCTCAAATACTGGAATTGGGCTTATACCTAGGGCAAACTAAGCGAAGTACGACAGGCTCATGACCAGCGCTTCTTTCTCTCTCTGAAGGCCTTTCACTAGCCCACAACAACCTAATGTAACTCTGATTTCCCTCTCGGTGGAGGAAACCCTTCAAACTCATCTAAACTTATCAGGATCCACAGACCACCGTAGGTCTATCTTGTTTCCAAATTCCCACAAATTTTAAGACAGGCTTTAAACTCTTCCAGGAAGAATGGTAACTTCTAGCTTCCAGTTCATCTTAGCCCAGGGATGGCCAGGCTGCTCCTGCAAGTTCCAAAGGGGGTCCTGTTACTTTCAAGAGGCGGTGAAGGGAAGGAAATAAAAATGAATTCAAGAAGAAGGGTCAACACATGTTTGGCAGTCTCTGCCTTAACTATCTCCTCCCAAGCTGGGCCACCTGCAGGAACCAAGGGTTACAAAAGGGAACAATGCACAGCAGAAGCACAGCAGGGGGAGTCAGAGAGGGTGGGCTATAAAGAGGAGGCACTGTTGAGTGGGAGTCTTGACAGATGAACCGGAACTTTCCGGAAGACAAGAGAGAAAAGGACTATGGAAGCCCCCCCGCCCTTGCTGCTGTACTCTGTGCTTTTCACGTAGGACCCAGCAGCCTGCAGTGGGGTTGTCTCCTTCCACACCGTCTTCCCAACAAAATGTTAAGACTCAAGAAAAAAGGTAAGTCTCACCGACTCGGTGTTATTAATCCCTGGCGCCGGGCCTGCCGCAGTCTTAGTGCAATGAGCTGGGGAGGAATTAGCCCTTGAAGCGAGCTCTAAATCACCAGATTAGAGATAAACTGCTTTCCTTTATTAAAGAACATGAAAATTAAAAGGGAAAATATTCCAGCTATGCCCAAACCCACCATCGAAAAGCACAGTTCAGCAACACACGACAGTTTTTCAACAGCTAACTGAAGTGTGAGGTGACGTCCACGTTTTCCCATGCAGCACCCAGAAGCACCGAGAGCCCCCCCAACAGACAGTGATTCCTAGCTGCTCCCCGTCGAGAGCAGACATTCAGCCTCGAGCCGCAGACAGGAGCAGCACAGCCCCCTCCAAGAGCAGACACCAGCCCCTGCATCTGGAGGGTAGACGTTTTGTCATCATAGAGAGAAACTCTGCCAGCAGGGATGGGGCACGGGTGGGGCTGGCAGCAGATGGGGGGAGTTAAAGTGGGTGGGGGTTCGGAGGGGGAGTCTATAAATTCCTCAAGCACGAGGTCTAGCTCTCACATGTATCTGTACACCTGGTGCCTGGCCCGGCCGTGAGCACCACAGGACTGCCTGCACTGTTAGGCGAGGTGTACGGTTAACGGGGCACCCTGCCACGGGCTCTCAAGTTAGGGACCACCCCCAGCCGAGCCCAGTGCCCTGTCTGAGGGCACGCAGACAAAGGGCACCTTTATGTAATTACTATGCCCAGGGAGGGCAACTTTTAAAAACTGTTCCACCCAGAGGATGCTCTCGTTTTCAACAGAACCAGAACACATGACTTTTCCTAACTGCTATGCTCAGAGAATGTGCCTTTGTTCCTAAAAAGTGGAGGGAGGTTCCTTTAGGTTCCACCAAAGCGGGTGGGGTTTTTCTCAATGGTCCATCCAGAGAGGGCCCCCTTTCTGTCATCCCTTTTACCTGGAGGGGACACCGATTTGCCATATATACCACCAGCTCCCACTGGCCTCTAGCAGAAGTCCAGTACATGTTTGCTGGGATGGCGAGAGTCCTCACCTTCACTCTCTCTTCCCCCTCCCTCACCACTTCCTCCCCACGTGCAGCAGAGAGTTTTGAAACTACAGGCACAAATGGAAAATGTCCGTGTAAGTCAATAATTCTTTCCTAAATCTACCGTTTTCATTAACTCAGAATTATGGGAAAAAAATATTTCACTGTACTATTTCACAATGGGGAGTAAACTTACATAACTCCTTAATCCCAGGAGGTGATACAGGCTAGAAATTGGAATACGGTGATGCTCAGCTATACAGAATCCTCAAGATATGAGTCTCTCTTAATAGCAAAGTTTCCTGGGAGCTGGAGCTTCCCCACTTTTTAGTACTGAATTGTTTCTTCAATTTTCACCATTTTGAATGGAACTCTTCCTGAAAACACGCTCCTCAGCCTTCTTACACAGATTCCTTGGAAGAGGCTACTGCCTCTTTTTTTTTTTTTTAAGATTTTATTTATTTGAGAGAGAGAGCACGAATGGAGGGGGAGGGGGCGCAGAGGGAGAGGGAGAGAGAATCTCAAGCAGGCTCCAAACTGAGCATGAAGCCCAACTCGGGGCTCCATCCAAGGACCCTGAGATCATGACCTGAGCTGAAACCAAGAGTTGGATGCTTAACCGACCGTGCCACCCAGGCGCCCCACTGCTGCCTCTTCTTAATGCCTTGCTTGTCATCCTTGGCCTCAGTTACTGCTTGGGAGGTAAATCAGAGGAGTTGCCTTTAGCATCCTTCCCCTCTGATCACAGCAGGGAGGGGGATACTAAAAGTGCCCTCATGATTCTCCCCTCTCCCTTATCCCTCTTGTCCCAGCCACTTCCCCGGGGGCTGCCATTTCCCAGCCTAAGTGGTTGCCCCAGGACCCCAAAACAGCCACAGGAGAGGTTCTGAACTGGGAGTCACTGTAGTCACCAACCCTGGAGATGCCTTTGGACCAGTCCTCTTCCTTTCTCTGGGCAGCTGTTGGCCTAGATGCACTTTCCAGAACTCTGTTTCTTGGGATCATGAAGGGGGAAAAAAAAAAACAAACTTGAAGATAAATACTTTTTCTTTAAATTGCATTTCTTAAAGCAGATAGTGGGTTTAAAAAATGCTAAACACATCGGAACAGCTGCTCTCGCTATTATGCGCTATTATTAACACAATAATCTATCTGCACGAGATCGTGTGCTGTATCAGAGAATGTGGAAAAGCATGGAGTCAGATCTAGACATTGATTCAGAGGCAACCATTTCAACTCCTATTTGTGATTTCTGGCATAGCGTAGTTTGGAAACTACGTATTTTTTAAATATAAAAAAGTGGAAGTTTCTTTCCTCTTCCCTGCACTCCAACAACCCTGTGTATAGGAGACGCTGTACTCTCTTGCAAAGAGAAGTAACTTCGGGTTGACCTGACATAGGGATCCAACCCAGTAACATCATGTGTCGTATTAAGTGGCTGCAACATAAAATAACAAAAGTACCATTCTTGTCTAAAATGTTAGTGGTTTGGGGGGCACCTGGGTGGCTCAGTCAGGTAAGCATCTGCCTTTGGCTCAGGTCATGATCCCAGGGTCCCGGGATCGAGTCCCGCATTGGGCTCCCTGCTCAGCAGAGAGCCTGCTTCTCCCTCTCCCTCTGCCTGCCACTCCCCCTGCTTGTGCGCTCTCACTCTCTCTCTGACAAATAAATAAAATCTTTAATAAAAATAAAAAAATAAAATGTTAGTGGTTTTTGATGACGTGTTAATAACCAAAAAATGTACAATGAAACATGATTTACTTTACCTTAACATATATTTATTCTTTTCATTAATAAAATAAAAAGGCTTCATTTTTTCAATTTCTTTCATTGTCTTATAAAGTTAAAAAATATATTACCTAAAGGTATTTTTACTGCTCACCACTAATTCATCCGTGAGACCATTTTCTGTCACTTAATTTAACCTAAACCTGAGTTCATGCTCAGTATCCATAAATATATTGTAAATTTTCAAGGACTATGTGGTCAAATAAATTTGAGAAGCTCCGGCCTGGGTTTCTTCCAGTTTTAGCCATCTATATACCATAACAGTGTTTCCCAACCCTGGCTGCACATCAGAACCACCTTGGGATCTCAAAAATCCTAGTTCCTCGTTCTCATCACCCAGAAATTCTGGCTTTCCTGGTATGGGTTGGGGCCACGCATTAGTAATTTGTTTAAGCTCCCCAAGTAATGTGGATTTGCAGCCAGGGTCTATATTTCTGGCCGTAATTAAAAAATGGAAGAAACTGCAATCAGCCAAGCAGTGTGAAAGATTCTACCCAGGGAGGTGACTGAAGTTCCTGGTGGCTTGGCCATGTTGTAGACACTGCCGAGGAGGTACGTCCATGACCTTGAGGCTGCCTGGTCATGAGATAGGGCTTACTCATTCCAAATCCATGCTGGTAAGAGTTAGGCCTGTTGGACCCTCGGGCAAACTGCCAAATGCGTCACTGAAACCACCTTAGGTCCCATAAGTTTCTCGTGAGAAGGTGTTCCTTCACCCACAAAGCAAGCTGGTTCTGTATAACTGGTGAGTAAAGCCAGGAGCCACGCGGACATCCCAAGGGAAGAGGTGAACAGAGCCAGCAGGACACTTGGATAACAGCTCTGCCCAAGGCAGGGGACGCTGCCTAGCTGCGCGGCCCGCATCCGTCCTCTGCTGCTTCATTAGAACCCCTCGTTGGCATCCCAGCCTGGCAGGTCCTGTGGTCAGCCAGCACCACATATTCTCAGTGACAATAAACATCTCATAGCTGCCAGGACTCTCGGTGGTGCCTCGGCTTCGGTTCCAAAGAATGTTTTCCCTCTTGGACGGCAAGGCAGTGAACAGATGTCAGTGGGGGAGAATGAAAGGAGGGGTCAAAGGAAAGGAAAATCCTCGGGTTGGGAGAGATGAGCTGACAGCCTCAAAAGCTAGATGCTGTTCCTCCGTGGGCACACGGGCATTCTTTACATATTCTGGAAAAGGGAAGAATGGCTGCAATTCCGAGCTGTCTAGGAAATATTCTTATGATAACTTCATCTTGACAGTACCCCCATCCACGGATTTCAAACAGCTTCATGGAACGTTAGCTTCGTAAGTTAGTATTTAGTGATCATGTGTGTGATCGTGGTGCATGCACCAGGAACTTTACCTACGTTATTTTGGATCCTCACGACAACCCTCAGAACTGGGTAGCATTAACCCTTTTTACAGATGAGGGAGCGTGGCTCGGAGAAACCAGAGTCAGCTAGTAAGTACGAGGCAAGTGGGACTTAAACCCACAGCTGCTGCTTCCAAATCCCAAGATCCTCTTCCTTAACATGTCACTCACTGGGGTTTTTTTTTCCTACTTACTAAAAGTAATACACGTTCTGGATGCCTGGGTGGCTCAATCGGTGAAATGTCTGCCTTCGGCTCAGGTCATGATCCTGGGATCGAGTCTCGCGTCGGGCTCTCTGCTCAGCGGGGAGCCCGCTTCTCCCTCTTCCTGCCACTCCCCCTGCTTGTGCCCCCTCTCTCTCTGACAAATAAATAAATAAAATCTTTTAAAAAGAGAGTAACACACGTTCATTTAGGACATTTGGGAAAATGCAGGAAGGTATAAGAAAAAAAATTACACCCACTCCCATAATCTCATAAAGATAACCACTGTTCCTCATGTTATCACCTTTATCACCCTGAGATTAGCATTGTTAACATGAGGGCATATGCCCCTCCAGTTTCTTTTCCATATACATATGCTTTATTTTTGGAGAATACCGTACATGCCTATTTTGGATAGTATAGTACATGCGACTTTATGCCCGGCCTTTTCCATTTAGCACTATCACTATATATTTGGGGGGTTTTTTGTTTGTTTTCTTTTAAGATTTATTTATTGGAGAGAGAGAGCAAGGGCATAAGCACGTGAGTGGGGGGAAGTGCAGAGGGGAGAGATAGAGAGAGAATCATAAGCAGACTCCCCACTGAGTGCGGAGCCCACTCGGGGCTCGATCCCAGGACCATGAGATCACCACCCGAGCGGCAACCAAGGGTCCAACGTGTAACCGACTGCACCACCACCCAGGCGCCCCATGGCTCCACATTTGTTTTAAGCCTGAATTTTCTTAGCTGTCTAGTATTCTATCATACAGACCTGTCCAAATTTAGAACAACTACGCCCCTATTGTTGAATGTTTAAGTGCTCTTCTTTTTTTTTTTTTTTTTTCAGTGAACATAAATAACCAGCAGATGCAGCGAGCTTCCTCAAACATTTTTCCCAGAATTCTGAGAGCGTCGGGTCCCGGAAGTGGAATTACGGGATCAGGAGGGCTGAGAGTTACACAAGGCCAGGGTGGGAGTTGCTGACAACTGTGATACATGGCTTCCCCCAAGAGCAGAGAGAACCCGAGGCCTGTTGATAAAGGAGACCCCACTCGCTCCCCTCGGGGCCGGCTAGTGAGGGAGGATAATATGAGTTTGGCTGTTTTGAAGATACTGGGAGTCTGACTATAAATTGCCAGGCAGTCAATTACGCTCGTTCTCCGAAACCAATTTCAGTCAAAATAAAAACAGCTGAATCATTTTTTCACCTCATCTCCTCTTTGAGCCCATTTCCCAAAGAAAAATGTATTCTTCTGATTTTCCCACTGGATGAATCACAGGCCATTCTTTTTTTTTTTTTTTTTAAGATTTTATTTATTTATTTGACAGAGAGAGACACAGCAAGAGAGGGAACACAAACGGGGGAATGGGAGAGGGGGAAGCAGGCTTCCCGCCGAGCGGGGAGCCCGATGCGGGGCTCGATCCCAGGACCCCGGGATCATGACCTGAGCCGAAGGCAGGTGCTTAACAACTGAGCCACCCAGGCGTCCCGTCGCAGGCCATTCTTGAGAATCTATGCTATTTAAAAAGAAAAAAATAAAAGATACGGTCAAACCTCCCATGTCCTCACTCACACAAAAAAAGAAGAGGCCACGCAGACTCGGGTTTTTTCTCCCTCTTTCTTATCTCACTAAGGCTGGCCTGGACTTCTTTGGGGGACCCAGGACCTGACTCTGCAAAGCAGGTCTCATCGGCCCAAGGACAGTGAAAACTTGAACGCAGATCAAGAAAATCTGCAGTTGTTACTCTTACAACTTCACTTTAACCTTCCCAAGACTCTAGTATCCAGCTCCTTGGCCAGCGAACAGGACGTGAGGGCTTCCCCGCCCCACCTCCCCACTGAGGGCTCATTCTGAGTCAAGAGGTGCCTTGCACCCTCTCCTCCTGAATCACTTGAGTTCCTCACCGGCCCCCTCACATATCCTGGGCCTTGCACCCGGCTACTTCCTGCACCAGGAATTCCCTCCTCCCCCTTCTTCAACTGGCCCGCTCCAGATCACCCTTCAGAACTCAGACATCGCATCGTCCTGAAGGCTTTTACAAGCCTCCAGGCTGAGCCAGGTGCACCTCCTCTGCATCCCCTTGACCCCCCAGGCTCGCCTCCACAGCAGTACAATGATTCAGTGTTCTCCATGCCGGACTGTAGGGCTGCATTCCAGTGGGCTGTATGTCCCCAGAAACTGGCATGGGGCCAGGCCCAGAATCAGGTGCTCAATATATATGTGATGGCTCAGGGTGCCTGGGTGCCTCAGGTCATGATCCCAGGGTCCTGGGATCGAGCCCCATGTAGGGCTCCCTGCTCAGCGGGGAGTCTGCGTGTCCCTCTCCCTCTGCCCCTCCCCCTGCTCGTTCTCTCTCTCCCTCTCTCTCTCAAATAAATAAATAAAATCTTAAAAAAAAATAAGTAAATACGTGATGGTTAGAAAAAAGGGATGAATTGAACTTAAGAGGCATTTATTAAGTGCCTGTTAGATGCCGAGCACTATTTTAGGGGCTGGAGAAACAGCAGTAAAAAGAGACGAAGATCTTGGGGCCCCTGGGTGGCACAGTCGGTTAAGCGTCTGACTCTTGGTTTCGGCTCAGGTCCTGGTCTCGGGGTCGTGGGATCGAGCCCCGCGTCGGGCTCCAAGCTCAGCAAGGAGTCTGCTAAAGTTTCTCTCTCCCTCTCCCTCTCCCTCTGCCCCTCCCCGTGCACGCTCTCTCTTTCTCAAATAAATAAATTTTTTAAAAAGCAGATGAAGATCTCTGTCCTCGAGGGGCTCACTTTCTATTGAGGGGCTTACACTTTATAGAGTGAGGAACAGAGAGCTGCCCAATTGCTCAAACCTCCCAAGTTAAAAGACTGATGCCTAGTGGTCTTGAGGCATGTTCAGACCCACTGCCTCGCACACAGAGCGCCCTGCTGCAAGCCTACTCGTGCAAACACTTGTTAACACACCTCCTGTTTGTGGCATTATTAATGTCACATTGTCCATTCAGATATTACCATCCTGGGCACTCTAACTTGAAAACTTCAATGAGAGCTGATCGGAGTGAAATCATGCAATTCTGTGGAGCAAGAAAGTGCTGACGGCTTGAACCATCAAGGTGAGGCTAGTGGCTTCCAACTGAAGAGAAGACGACTCTAGAGGGCCATGGAGTTATCAAAAGTCTGTGAGTCTGCAGATCCACCAAGTGTTGTCCACCTACTGAATAAGCACTACTCTGCCTATGTGGAAAGATAGGTCATCAATTTTAAGTCTTCGAATTCATGTAAAAGCACTGCTGAATTCACAGTAGCAGTCTGTCATTGTTTGGTTTTTATTTTTTTTTTTTAAAGATTTTATTTATTTATGTGTCAGAGAGAGAGGGAGAGAGCACAAGCAGGGGGAGCGGCACGCAGAGGCAGAAGCAGGCTCTCCGCCGAGCAGGGAGCCTGATGCAGGGCTCGATCCCAGGACCCTGGGATCACGACCTGAGCCGAAGGCAGGCACTTAACCAACTGAGCCACCCAGGCGTCCTTGTCATTGTTTGGCTTTTATTTTTGTTTTTACCATAGGGGATTCTAGAAGTCCAAGTTCCATTCCTGGACCCTAAACCAGACTGGATGGAAAATCCTCTGGGGTGTGAACTGGGGTCCTGGTTCTGGCTATCAGCTCTCCCCCACCTGGAGAAGGAGAGGACCTGATGCCCTGGCACCACACACTAGGAAATGAGATGGCACCCACCCCTGCAGTGGGAGCTCTTTTTTTTTTTTTTTTTTTTGAGACAGAGAGAGGGAGAGCGAGAGAATCTTAAGCAGACTCCATGCTGAGCGTGGAGCCCGACTCAGGGCTCGATCTCACGACCCTGAGATCATGACCTGAGCCGAAATCAAGAGCGGGACACTTCACTGACAGAGCCACCCAGGCGCCCCCAGTGGGAGCTCTTTAAAGGGAGAGACTGGGTCTTATTTACCTCCGGGTCTTTAGCACTCAGCGCAAGGGTGAGAAGGGGAAAGGTGATGGGACCCAGACAAAGTTGTGTCCTCTTTTGCAAGGCTGGAAGGTAATGATCTGAGGATAAGATGACTTGAGGCCTCCAGAAAGGGCATATAGAGCAGCAAAGCTAGTGAGCCTGTTAAGCTGCTTAAGCTTTGAAGAATAATAAATCCATACCTTGGAAACATGTATGCTAAATACATTTTTGGTAATAATTTTACTTTCTCATTCCTTGGTTTTTAATAAAAGTGCCTTTGGAAATGCCAACCAGTCTCTGCTATAATAACAGAAAATAGGCATGATGTGGGTGAGTGACAAGGAGTGTCCACAATTGGTTTTAAAAGCTGGAAGGGAAAATAGCAAGTATAAAGAGGACAGAAGGATTATGAGTGACAGAGCCCCACTGGAAAGGTGACCTTCAGAAGACTGTGTCGGGGTCACTGGCCCAGCTACCCCTTCCCACCTGAAGCTTCTTTTTCTAGCTATTTCCCACTCAAAGCTTAAAGGAGACTATGTTTTAACAAGGGAGCCTGTTGCCTCACATCTATTCCCTACATGATGCAAGGCTGACCTTCCTTCTTCCTCTCCACCTCCAGTTCACCCACCAAGTCCCAACTACAGAAACCACAGGGAGCCTGTTCTTTAGAGCATCTCTCAGTTTGCAAAGGTAACAGGAGTCATTCGTTATCCTGGACAAGTTCCAGCTGAAAAAACTGGCAGGGCGCTGACTCTCAGGGAACAACTGAGTTTGAACTTAGCAGCACACAGCACTGGCTTCGGTGTCAGGAGGCCCGGCTTCTAGATCAAGGCTTCCTGCCATTTATCTGCTGTGTGACCTAGCGGGTGCCACATTCCTCAAAGGGGAGATTAAGTATATGCTTAGGCCACCAGCAACAGGAGTACAAAAGAGAGAATGGAAAACATCCATAAGCCATTTTAATTTCAACATACATGTGGAAGGAACTCCGAGTGATCTCAAAAAATAACATTTTATTTATTTTTTTTTAAGTAGGCTCCACGCCCAACATGGGGCTCGACGTGGGGCTTGATGTGGGGCTCGAACTCACAACCGTGAGATCAAGACCTGAGCCGAGATCAAGAGTCGGGCACTCACCCGACTGAGCCAGCCAGGCGCCCCCCCAAATCACATTTTATCTGAAGGTTTAGAATTGCTTTCATTTGGAATTCCATATGGGGAGACACTATAATCTTTTCAGCACTTAGGGTTACTAACGGTCTTGATCCAGCTGGGTACAAGTCCGTTCCTTTTTCTGGGCCTCAGCAGTCAAGTGTTAGGACACCCACAACGGTCAATGACCGAGTTTTTGATGCCACATGGTATAAACCCACTCCACCCAAACCAGACAAGTACGGGGACAGACGATGAAATTCACCACTCTCCTCCTGACACCTAATCAACGGCGTAAAGGTCGAAGTTGAGCCCAAGAGCCATAACTTGAATCTTCTCCTATTACTCCACTATTCCGTCATCCTGATGCTTTTATCACCTTAGCTGCTCATGTGTCTTAAAAAAGGGAGAAGATTAAGTTTCTTGTTTCTAAAGTGGAGGAAATTCTAGTGGACATTTTGGTGTCCAAATTTCCAGGGAAGTTGTTTTCAACACACGGAAATATCACGAAGCAGACCAGGAATTTCATGGTATTTAAAAGAAAATGGGCTTGCCCCACTCTGTCAAGCCACTGTCCCAAGGGTGTCTGGGGATGACAGGTAGGACAGAGACAAAGTGAGCTCTGGCAAAGTGCCTGTTCCAAGTCCCCAAAGATCCCCCTGCTCTATCCAACTCAAGCAGGCCATATCCTGTCCTCAGTAGCAATGACGATCAGGTTCAGAGTCCATGACACCTCATCGAATGGGAATCTGGCTGCAGTCTGAAGGTGCAGCTTTCATTTTTCTCATCTCCATGTAGATTTACAACAGTCTCCCCTCACCCTGGAATTATGATTTAGACATAAATAAACCAGCTGTCCTTTCTGATTTGGAGCCAAAGTTGCCACAAAGCTGGAAAACCAAGAGGCAGGAATTTTACATAAAGATGAAGAGGGAGTTTCCACCATCGCCCCAACTGGCTGTATTCAAGCCAAAATAATTGCAAGAAGGAAGAGAGCATCTTTCCCATAGCAAGTTCATAGGCTAGTGTAGAACGATAGCTCCCCAGTGTTACTAAACATACCTAGATTTATCTAGTGCTTTGGTGACTTCCTTGCTCACTCAGGAGATATTATACCCCTAGGCCAACAGCTGATTGCCTTTGTAATTATCATCTAAGCACCTACAAACATTAAATAGATCTCTGAGGGAGGAATTGGAAAGCTTGGATTCCCTCAGCATATGGCAGCATGCACAGAGCTATTTCCCTCTGGCTTTGACCATGCCATTCTTGAGATGAAGAGCACAGAGTACAGGACACAAATGCAGTAAAACAGGGCCCGTTCAAAGCCAGATGTGAGGAGAGACTCCAGTTCTAGGCAGGGCCACTCCAAGGGCCACAGATCCATAACCCGAGGAGCCTGGTGCAATCCTTTAGCACGCCCTCTCCTCCTTCCAACCCCCATCCCCCACCTCACGCCGGTCACAAGAGCTTCTAGGGCAGTCTCAAAGGGGTTCAAGTTACCAAAGAACAGCCTTCAGTGGAGGAGGAGGTGTTGCCAAGCAACCAGCCCAGCCCAGTCCCACCCCTGTAACCTTGAAGATGGTGGGGCTGTGACCCCTGGCTGTATAGAGGAGCACCTCGGACTGCCTCAGCATCAACTTTCTCCTCCTCCATCTCTTTCTCCTCTCCCTGCCCTCCGCCTGCTGCCTCCCAGGGCCCCCAGTAGAAGCACGGGGTCTGGTCTCTGCAAGCTTGAAGGCTCGGGGCCAGTCTGATTTGCCATTGCTCCCGTAGGTGGCGGCCAAGCTGTCCCTGCAGGGAGCCTACAAGCTGCTGGCCTGTCAGGTGCCATTCACTCCGGTTATGTGGCTTCCAAACCTTCCTCCCTCCTTCCCAGGTCTTGCTTGCCCCCATGGTCAAAGAAATAGCTAAAGGAAGAATTTGGGGGGGAAATTCAGCCAGATGGAAGATACATAGGGTAAAATGCCGACCACCGGCAAGATGGTCAGTAAAGGAGTAGGAGTGCTAGGAGCGAAGGTGCCAGGAAGAAAAAAAGAACAAGAGCGGGCAATGGTAAAAATTTTTTTTTAAAAAGGGGGGGTGGATATTTATGTGGGGTCAAAATATAATATGTAGCCTGCTGAACACCTTGTTGGAGCTTACACCCGAGCGATGGAGGGAGTGGCCAGATGGCGCACTGATTACCCTCCCCAACTCTCCTTGCATTTGGCACTTACACTCAGATCATTGCCGAGAAGGCCTAATTGAAGTGATACGCAGTCAAAGCACCTGAAGGGAAAAGTGTGCAGTGGGAACCTCGAGGGGAAGCTAGGGTAGGGCATCAGACGGGAAAATGGAAAGCCAGAACTTCTTGACAAATTAAGGTAGCTGCGTTCCATTTGTGCAGCTGACTCCTCAGCGCCTCTGAGCCAAGGCAAGTGGATACACCAAAGAGGCGAGACAGCCACTCTCCCGGCTCCTGCGAATTTCAAAGAAACCAAACTAATGCAATCTCTCCTCAGAATTGCTCCCTTCCTCGAAAAGATACCCATTGCACAAAGCCATCTCCTTCTAAACCAGCAGGTTACCGGGAAAGGGCTAGCTAGGTCCCAAGGTGACTTGGTGAAGCCATGCCTTCCCGCATGTGGAAAGGGCTCCCCGATTCAGTGGACGGTTCAGTGGACAGAAAGGTCCCAGTTGGAAAAGCAGAGCCTCCTTTCTGTCCTCATCTTACCCTGCTGAACTCAGTAGGTGGCTCTCTTTAAGCTGTGTGGGGATTCTGAAAACTACTCCTTGAGTTGACTTATCAAATTTCTTCTAGGCTAATCCTGGTAGTCAGCGGGACCCCCGCGGGGGGTGGGGGGAATCAACAGTGACCTTCTTACCCTCTTTGTCAACTGAGAACTAACCAGACCTAGGGCCCCAGCTTTCTTGGTCCCCTGCCATGCAGAGGTTTCTGGTCCTATGTCTACATTCCATCTGGCAGTCATCTGTGTCTTCCACCTTCCTGTTCACACATAACCCAGTTCATTTTTCTCCACTAGTGACCTCCACCATCTACCTCAGAAGTCCCAGACCTCTCTGAAGAGGGGATCCCAGGGCCTCTGACTCCTGTCCTACTGGAAAGGGTCGGGGCAAGGTGGTGCCTGCAACGGAGAGGGGCTGGCCCTGCCAATCCTGCCCCAAGGCAGCTGGAGTCTTGCACTCAAAAGTCAGCCCCCTAGCCACTTTCTGCCTCCATCTGAAACTTTCTGGTCACACTGCTCCTTCTCTCCCCTTTCTGGGGCTGCCAATTGGCCTCGGCACCTGGCACGCCCCAGCTGTGGTCCGCATTTCCAGCACATTCAGTCCCCTTGCTTTCAGCACAAGTGCCACACTCTAAGAGAGCAGTGCCTTTCCACGGAGTGAGGACTCCCCATTCAAAGTGCCCGAGTCCCAAGTAGTAAGGGTCAAAGGCTCGCGCTGCCCTGCCACCCTCTCACGGGGTCCTGCGTCCTCAGCCAGGGCACCACTGGGTTTCTCAGGCATGGCTAATTCCTAAACGAATCATGAAACTGATGACAGTCCCGTTAAGCGGGCCTCTCCGGCAAATCTGTGCAGCCAGACCCTAGGGGTAGTACGGGTCAGCGAAGGCGGCGGCAGCCTCTCCTTCCCGCCACACCCCTGCGGCCACTCCCGGCGCAGCGAGCCTGAAATCGCGGGGAGAAGCAGGCGGCGGGGCGCTCCCACTCTCCGCGGAGGGCGAGCCGCGAACACGCCGCGGCGCGAAGTTGCACAGGTTTAAATCCACTAGGCACCGCCACCAAGCTGCCGCCGCCGCGTAGGTGGCCAGCGGCGCGGGCGCGCTTTCCGAAGCGGCCGAGCCCCGGGACTGGAGCAGAGACGCCCGCGGCGCGGCCATTTGGTTCTCCCGACGCCGCGGAGACGCGGACGCCGCGGGCCTGGGGACGGCGCCGAAGCCGTCCCGGACCCGGTGGCTCCCGGGAGCCCCGCAGGTTTCCGCCCCCCCTCCCCCGGATCCCCAGAAAGCGGCCGCGCACCCCAGGGCCGGGAGCCCCGAAAGCACCGGGTCACTCAGGACGGCGCGGCCGGCTCCAGGGGCAGGAAGTTGCAGAAGGAGAGCGGCGGGTGGGGAGTCAGGGAAACGGGATCCCCTCACTCCCGGAGGGGAAGGGAGGGAAGGGAGGAGGAGGGGCACGGAGGGCCGGGGAGGGGGCGGGGTGGGGTGGGCGCCGGGCCGGGAGCCCACTGGCGCCCCCAGAGGCGGGGTAGACGCGGGGCCGAGAGCGGCCCGGGCGCGGTTTACCTAGCTCCTCCTCGTCGTCCTCCGGGCCGAGCAGGCGGCAGGGCAGGCGGCGGCGGAGGCGCCCGGTGCGCCGGCACAGGCTGTCGGTGCGGCGCCCCAGGGCCAGCAGGTGCCCCTCGAGGTCCTCGAGCAGAGCCAGCGAGTGGCCGCAGAGGTCGGCGAGCTGCCGGAGCAGGCTGAGCGCGGCCAGGTGGCTCACGTCGCGGAGCTCGGCGAGCGGCTGCGGCGGGTTGCGCGGGCACAGGCGCTGGGGCACCACCGTGCGCCTGTAGAACGGCATTCCGGGCGCGGGCGCGGGGAACCAGCCTGGCGGCGCCCCTGACCCGAGCGCCCCTGAGCGGCGGCCCCGGCTCCGGGTGTAGCAGGCCCCGGGCGCGGGCCCGCGAGCGGGCGGGCGCCGAAGACGCCAGGCGGGTGGGCGGGCTGCCGGGTTCCCAGCCTGGAGCGCCGCTCCCCCCGGGGCTGCACACTCGCCGGAGCCACCCGTCCCTCTGACTCTGGTTCGCCGGGCTCCTCCTCCTCCTCCCCGCCTTTCTCCACCTCCTCCTCCCTGGCCCTGCTACTTCGGGATCCCCCCACCCACCTTTTTTTTTTTTTTTTTTTCTTTTGCGGTCAGAGATTCGCAGATTAACGCTTGATCCGGGAGAGGAGGGAAAGGGAAGTAGGAGTAAAGAGAGCGAGCTGGAGCGTGAAAGAAGGAATGTCTGCGTGAGGGGTGTGTGTGTGTGTGTGTGTGTGTGTGTGTGTGTGTGTGTGTGTGTGTGTGTGTGATGTTCGGTACGGTCTGTGTGCCCGCGTCCTCCTGCGGAGCTCGAGTCTCGGTACTGATGGTTAAAAGTTGTGTTCTGCTTTGTTTCTGTAACTTAAACTTTTCCTTCATAAATAATAAAAATTCAAGCGCACCCGCGCCCACACCAGCAAGTAACCGGTGGAGACCCACCGGTTAGTCTGATTTCATTCATCTTGCTTTCCTTTCCCAAACAGGGACTCGCCGCCACGCACGGGCTGGACTAGGCTGTGAGCATAGCTTTCTAGCGCCCAGGAGCTTGCAAACGAGGAGGAAAGAACCGATTTTCTTACTGGGCTGTCAGGAGGGCAGTGCCTCTGGGTACTCTCACGGTGCCTGGACTGCTGTAAAGACTCTGGAATGAACGAATGAGTGAGTGAATGAAAAGAAACCCATTCTCTGGAACAATAGATTCAGTTCAATGGAGGGATGCTGCGCCATATTTTATGCAGAGAGCCCAGGGCCACCTCCATCTCTGGCCCCACTAGGCTCCTGAGATGCACGGGGAACAGGCTGGGGTAAGTATGCTTGCGGTGCAGGAAACCCTGTAGTCACGTCCTGATTTCTCTCTACTGCAGAAGTTGGAAGAGAGGGAGACACTGATTGATGTCCTCAGAAAAGCAGAGTGCCTGAGTGTGTGTATGTCCCTGTGCACTTGGGGAGTTTCCACTCTGAACACTTAATTTCAACACACTGAGCTCCCATCTGATTCTGCTCTAAACCACTGTGACTTTGGTGTGGTTCCATTTCTTCCTTCTGGTAATTCTCTCATCTCTCCTCCTAAAAATGCTTAGAATCCCTTATAATTTACTAGTAGAACACCTCGAACAGACTATGTGTGTCTGCACGAATGATCCTGAGTGTGGCCTGTTTTCATTCATTCCTTTACAGAATTGTCCCTTAAGCAGTCCAAGGCGGCTCTACAACCAGTTAAGAGTAATCTGATTACCCTTCTCAGCAAATATCTGTTCCCTGTTCCGTAAAGTGGTACATGGATACTAAAAAAGTTGGGTTCTATTACAGTAAGAAAAAATTGGCCAAAAGACAACCCCTCTTCTGAGCTGTTAAATCATTTATGATTGCAGAACGGGGACCCAAAATCTGTATTTGGCAAACTCAAACCTGAGCCAAGAGAGTGACTGGCAAGAACTAGGGACTTGGCTGGACTCTCCAGGGATACTTGTCCTTGACCTATGGGCTGTTTAGACTGATCTTCATTTGGGAGAAAAAGAAATGAGGTATGAGCAGATTGAAAGAGACTGTGTGGGCAGAGCTTGGCTGCCTGAGGGTGGCAGGTCTGGGCTGGGCCTGGTGTCTGAGCTGACCTCACGACTTTGATTCCTGAAGCTGATGAATCTTTCAGGGCTCTATAATAACAAGCTCAACTCCAAGCAAATCAGCAGTGGCCCCACACCCTTCCCCCCCAGCCAAGTCTGTTCATTCCAGCCTCTTCAATGTGCTGGCCCTGGCTTTCATCAAGGAAACATCAAGGACTTACAATGGGGCCACCTCAGAACAGAGCCCCTCCTCCCTTCCCAGGACCAGAGCTGGACTGCACGTACTGTGGAAGAAGTCAAGGGAATGTAAGTTTTCACCTTCCTTCTCATCTCCAGTCTCTTCCCAACAAGAAAATGGAGACCTTAAGCAAGAGGCAGGTCTGGATGTAGAGAGCCCCTGGGAAGGAGCGCAGGGGCCCGGCTCTGGTCCTTGGAGGGAGAGCTGGGGTTCTAGAGGTGCCACATTCCAGCCATGATGTCCAGGGCAGGTAAGCAGCTAAGACCAAGGGTCCCGTCCTGTACTCCCACATCACTCTCCAACACAGCATTCCCACAATCATCCTTGTTTAATAGTAATAATAATGCTTTTGTAATAACATCATCTTCTCCGGTTAGACTGTTAGCTCCATAGGGGCAGGAACCAGGTCTGTCTTGCCCACTTCTGTATGTCCAGTGCCAAGGCCAGCAACTGGTACACAGTAGGTATTCAGAAAATATATGTTGATGAATGAATAAATAAAGCTAGATTATAGGAAGAGCCCAATATGAAGAGCTTTACTTAAAGGATTTCACCTGGCCCAAGGGCCAGTAGAGAGTCATTGTGGATTCTGGAGCAGAACACTGCCTGATGTGGGGAAGGAGATGCTCGAGAACTTTTCATCTGGAGGCAGTGGGAAGAGGCAAATGTGGAGAGCAAGACTGCTTTGTCCCACCTGCACCCACATCCCCAGGGCCGAGTAGCCAGAAAGTGCTCCGTGAATTCAACGTTTGCTCTGATTTGCCTATAAACCTTGGCACAGCACATTCCGAAGGAGAGAGAGGGAAGGTGCCAAGGGGAGAAGGGAGAAGACCCTAACACTCAAGCCAGACCTGAAAATGCTGGGTGCTTCCTACCCACCCGCCAACTCCCAGACTCCAGACCTATAGCTGTTCATCTGTCACTGTGCTCAGAGTTCCAAACTGGGCCTAAGCTGGGCCCACCTGTGCAACTGGACATGGGTCTGGCCTCGAGCAGTGACTGGAAAAAGAGTGACTAGAGAGGGAGGAGGGAAATGGGAGAGTAACCACCCACAACCAGCAAGACCCCTGCTTTCCTTCCCACCCTCTGTCTTGCCTAACCAGCTGCTGCTAAGAACCTAGAATTTCAGTAAAAACTGGATTTTGAGGGGCGCCTGGGTGGCTCAGTTGGTTAAGCGTCTGCCTTCGGCTCAGGACAAGATCCCAGAGTCCGGGGATCGAGTCCTGCATCGGGTCCCCACCCCCACCCCCGCCCCTGCTCAGCGGGGAGCCTGCTTCTCCCTCTGCCCCTCCCCCTGCTCAAGCTCTCTCTCTCAAATAAATAAACAAAATCTTTAAAAAAAATTTTAAAAACTGGATTTTGAAGACATAAGTAAGTAACATATAGGATATGCCATTTCTTTTCCTCCAAGTTGCAATCTCCACAGCTGCAAAATGAAAATTCACGAGCAAACGTGCAACCTCCCCAGTTTCCCAGTACAGCCCTCAGTCTTATTTCAGGATGAGAACCAAGAAGGGTGCTCCCCATGTTGCTACCTCTCAAATTTACCCAAATAGTAGCATCTTGGAAGCTAAGCAGCAATGCCATTTTTTTTCCTTGACATTCCCTCTATAGTCCAGCAATTGTTTTATCTAAGTTGTGAGAACATACATTCCCCCCTCAATACCCTCTTGCCATGAGACTCAGGGCAGATGCTTTCCTTATGAATGAAAAAATATATATACAGCCAGTAGGGGGATAAAAAAGCTGCTCCTCAGTCCCAACTTTAACACTGTCTTGTTCCCTGGTGCTAAGTGTCTGCACCAAGAGAAACTAACAAGAATTGGCAAATACTAGATTGACTCTTTTTTTTTTTTTAATGTCATTTACCCTTTTTGGTATTTTAACGCTTGGCTCTGCAGTTAAGAACTCAAGTAACCTACCTCCTCAGACAGGCCCTAAGAAAGTAGCCCGAAGAAAACAAAGTGGTGGCTTTTAGCTTTTCAGTCAGAAGGGATCCCAGGATGCAATCAACAATGCAGACCAAACTCATGCTTATCAGGACCTTACGCGGAAAAGAGTGGAACCAGTGAGCGCCTCAAGATTTGAGAGGAGAGAGCAGGCTCCTGCCTTTGAGGCAGCCTTCAGAGTGGGGAAGGGTATGCCCCAGAGCTGGGCCTCCAGGGTTGGACTGGAACCTTAGACAGCCATCAATCACCTCCTAGGGCAATAGGCGCGTAAGCTGAAGACGGCTCAAGGTCCTAAAATAAATTCCTTTCAACCCAGACTCAATGCTTCACACACACGCAGGGCAAACCCTTCAAGAATTCCATGAGGAAATAAACCTTTATTTCAAAAATAAACTTTGATGTTGTTTGAACTTTGGCCCTGACTCTGAGCCCAGGCTGAAACTGCAAGAAAAGATTTGTGGTATTTTGAAAGAAACTACAGGAGATTTCAGCAGAACATGAACAGATCCTTTTACAGCCCCTCATCCTCATGTTGTATGTGGATCCCGCCCCCCCACCACCACCAGTCCGCCACCCCCTACCCCACTGGCATGCTTTCCCTCATTCCCTCCCTATCTTGTTCGGATGACACTATAATTAGGAACATTCAAATGTTGCTGCTTTCGATGGGTAATTTTATTCTAACATGCTTGCTTTACCTGGGGGAAATCATATTGGGACACTCCCTGACTATCCTACTCTTGACCTAACAACCACCACCCCTCCCCTGCAAATTCCTGTCTCCCCACAAAATCCTAAAGCAGTAAGGAAAAGTCCTTAATCTCTCCAGGACATGCCATGTCCACCACACGATGACATCCTTGTGTTTGATATTGAGGCTGGGTTAGGTAAGAACCACGTCCTGCTCTACATCATTAAATTGGGAGTTGTTTTGCCGGTCAGGGCTTTGGATTAATTGGGGAACCTGAATAAGGAACATTTCAGCTTTATCAGGCACCCAAATACGGTTGGACATGGGGTCCACCTTCCCTCTCTACTAGGAAGCTATGCAGCCCTGCACAGTGGTCATAGCCAAATGCAGGCTGTGGGGACCCACTGATCTGCGTTCAAGTCACCAGCGCCCCAGCTGTGTGTCTTGGGCAAGTTACTTAACGCTGGCTGTGCCTCAATCTCCTCATCCATAAAATGGACAAGATCAATATTCAATTGATGTCCGTGAGTATGGCTATACTGATTGTCTGCAGGTGTCCATTCTATTCGATCAGGCTATTCAGGATCCACCTTGCAGGATTGCCCCGAGGATTACATGAAATAATGTACAGAAAGTGCTGGGCACAGAGGAGACACTCAAGAAATGTTATTAGCGTATACATAGCAGTTTCCTGACTATAAAAAGGAAGGCACATTTTTTTTTCTTCTTTCCATTCTAAGTTAACGAAGCCTCATGCCCTTGCATCAAAGTTTCTGTAGTTACAATATATTGTAATATATTATAATCAGGAATAGTCAAAATCTCGTCTCTTACCCAATTGCCTTTTAACTGACCAAACGATTCC